AATAGAAAATAATACCATAATCTGATCGAATTTTTCCTCAATATCGACTTCACTTCTAAAATTATTCATAGATTATAATTTAATAAGTAAATGTCAAATCTAAACAAACCCTTTTTGTAAAAGTTTATCACAATATCGGGTTAATAATTCAGCTGATTTTCCTGCATTATCAGCACTTTCTGGTAATACATTATTATTAATAAAATTTCTACAAGTCTAAATACACAAGATAATAAATGAGATTATCTTGAAAATATTCTATTTATCTTCTCAACAGCAGCAATAAAATGTTCGTCATTATGAAAAAAATCTTGTACAACTTTGAAGAATTCCTCACGAATATTAAGAATTGATTCAACATAATTTGTCGAAGCCTAAAATAAGTAACAAAGAGAAATACGTATCATTATAAGATACGATGGTAAATTAGTTTTACATCAATTGCAGTGACACTGATTGGTGTGATAGATTTAATAACTTTTGGACAAAAATTTTCTTCAACAATCTTTTTTAATTCAATAATCGTATTTGGTATTCGACCAACTAGTTTGAATAGAAATGCAAAATCTATCAAAAAAATAAATCATTTAAAATGGATTATATGAAATTTTCAAGATTAATTATGTTAATAATTTTTTTTTTTTTATATACATGAATAGTTTTCATTGTGTAAAAGTGTTTTTGCTTCAGTATAGATTGGTTCAAGTTGATCAAGAATGAATATTTGTTCAAGTTTTTTAATTAATGGTGCTAATGTTGATGAATGTAAGTATGATTCTACTCGATGTATATCTACTTGAAAACGTTGTTCTACCTGTCATAAAATAATATCAAATGTTTCATCATTTTTATAGGAAGCAAAAATAGTAAACCTTTTTCAAATATTCAATCATTGAATTTTTAACAAGAAGATTAACTACTTCCCGTCGATAAAATTTTTCTATATATTGAAGAAATGGTACTTCAAAGTTGTTTTTATAAATTTTCAATCTTGAAGATGTTATTTGATCAATACAATATGGTACAGATGAATCTTCATCAAAGTCAAGTTCGACTTAAATTTTCCATATAAATTTCAAGAAAAAACGAGAAAAATCTTGATCTTTACCATAACTTTGTACAATTGCACGTATAAATCGAGTATCAATTATTTCATTTTGACGTTCGGTATTGATGAATTGAAGACATGTTAATGTTAGTTGACTTCGCAATGGTTCAAAGAAAACACGCTTCCAAATTCCCATTGCCATCTAAAATGATGTTAGTTTTATAATAGATTTGAAAAGATAAAGATTCGAACTTAACTTACAGTGAATACTTCATAAACATCTCTTCTTCCTGAATCATATACCCTTCGTATCCAATGTCGATTTAGATAATGGCAAAAACCATTTGTTACCTTACTTGAAAACCGATAATTTTCCCAATTTTTGGCATAGAAACAAAGTAAACTTTCGCCTGCTAAATCTAGTCCTTTCTACAAATAAAAATGTCATCATTAAAAACAATAACAGTAGTTCAATATTAGAAATAAAATTAGTTCTGAATTTATATACTATTTATTACAAGTCTCATTAGAATCGACAAAGATTAAGAATGAAAGACTATGGCACGAAAATAGATCTTATTTTCGATTTGTGGGTGTGGGTGGATGTGGAGGATGAAGAACCCTGTGCTCACACCCACCCACGCACACCCACACCCATACCCACCCACACCCATACCCATACCCACCCACACCCACACCCATACCCACCCACACCCACACCCATACCCACCCACACCCTCCAACATCAAAGCACGTAAGTAATTATTTCTTTTTTTTTCTTCTTTGAAGAAGGAGAATAGGGTGAGAGGGGAATGAGAATATATAGTGACAGTGAGAATGGGTAGAGTTAGATTAAGCCTCAGCAAACTGAGTATTAGTGGAAGGAAGAGGTGAGTTATGTCCAGTGGGGTTAGATCCCTGTTAGTTACAGGCCTTCCGGATAGGCCCTAAAAATCCGACCAGGAACTATCTTGGTGTCCGTGGCACACGACCGGGCCCTTCAGACTCATTGACATACCACTCGAGTGGGAGGGATATGAATGATTTGAGTCTGTCTCGTGCGTGCATGAGCGTTACGCTCGCCACGACTCCACCAGGGATGGTTCCTGGTCGCGCGCGCGATTAAAATAGACATTCATTTCATCAATTCAACATGATTTATTTAAGAGAAAGGAAAGAAAAAAAACCATCGCGATGAGTCTATCCGATTGAAAAGCGTTGAACACGATGATTGTCACAATCGACAACATAGAGATTAGCATGTCGATCGAAGGACAAACCTCGGAGACTGTTGAATTGATTCGCCCCTGATCCTCGACCATTTCCACCCACAATGACAGTGCCTTGTTTTGCTCCTTTAGGCCAACGCATCACTCGATGATTCCACAAGTCTGCCACATAGATGGTACCCAATGTATCGACGAACAGTCCTTTTGGATACGACAATTGTGTCAAAGTATTCCCATAGCCTTGACCTCCAGCGACGACAATTCCTTCTTTTGCATCTTTATCCCATTTCATCACACGATGATTGTCATGGTCTGACACGTAGACAGTCTGTTGTTGATCGACAAAGATGTAGGTCGGATGGTTGAGTTGTTTGAGACCAACACCTTTGCCATGGCCACCAGCCACAATAGTTCCATTATTGTCTCCTATTTGATATCGTCTTACTTCATGTTTTTCGACGTCAGAGATGTAGAGATATCTCTGATCATCCATGGTCAATCCCCAACATCCAATGTTGTTGATGAGAATTTCTCCTTGAGTTGTGCCACTACGACGAGACCATCGAAGGACTCGTCGATTCCATCGATCACAAATAATGAGACTATCCGTTTCTTTGTCGATCAACACATCGGTTGGACAATTCAATTGATCCAATCTATTTCCTCGGCCATTGCCACCAGCTACTACTTGTCCATTCGTATCACCCATCTTCCATTGGATGATACGATAATTGTAGCCGTCAGCGATGACCATCGTCTGATCATCATCAACGAAGAGGGCATAAGGGTAGTTGAGTTGCTTGGTAGCATTGCCTTTTCCATGGCCTCCAGCAACAGTCACCCCATTCTGTTTCCATCGAGCATCGACTGGAATATTGGGAATTGCTACAATGAACGAAAAAGAAAAGGAATCGTCGTTATCGAAGGGATCTCGTCTCTTATGGGAGCAAGCACCATAAATACGACATTCGTCGTTGAGAATGCTCGTTCCACAGATAAAAATTCAGAAGTCTTTTCCTAGTTTCCTATAAAAAAGAAGGATTTCATAACGATTTTTACATCTATGTCACTTTTAGTTCTTGTCAAGATCTTTTTGACCCTAAAGACAATACCTGGAAATTGCTGTAACGAGATATGTTCGAGAAAGAGTAGTGCTAATTCCATCTAAGCTTTTGATAGAAAAATATAGAGATCTGAGGATTTTATCTGGAATTGCGAGAATGCAGAATCTTTTTGTCGGATGATCATTTACATGAACATCAGACAAGAAGAACTATGTAAAACTTCTAAACTGAGAAAATCCTGAGAAGATTCTATTTGCATCTTGTTATGAAGATGTCAGATCTAATTCCTGGTGTTGGAGAACTTTGAGGATGCTTTTCACATCATAGGACAATTCAGGCAGATCTATAGAATTTGATCTTCTTATATATAAAGGAGAATGTTTATCTGTCTGTCTGTTCTTTATGCATTTCTATACTGTACGAGCGAATGCAATCAAACTTTCCAGGAATTCTCCTCTCACCCAGAAGAAGGTCAACACCTATTTTTTTGTTCAAAAAGAATTGATCCTTCGCCCGCAAAAAGCATGCCTATGTTGCTGACCAATCACCTCAAAATCTGATTGGTTGGCCCGAAACCAATAGAAATCGAATTTTTGGGAAAACTAATATCAAGGGTGACCCATGTCATACGCAAATCCAGCTTTTGGGGAAGTTGATCCCTGGAGGTCGTGTGAGGCGAGGATTTCTAATAAATAGCCTATGACACTGAAAATTTGTGTGTCATAGATATCGACTCCTTAGGTTGTTAAAGGATCTGTCCCACAAAAATCTTTCTGTCTGTCTTTCTTTGCAATCAATCGGAATTCAGTGTGATTTCAGTAGTACAAAATGCGACGTTCTAGATCAATTAAATGTGTCGTTGTGCTTAGTTTCGATCAAAATGGATTTTTCTTGCAACGCTGTCGAAGAATCGATTGTCCATGTGGGCTCCCCACTAGAAACACAACTATACAGCTCTGGAACCAGGAACATGACCAAGTGCGACCGGGGTCAGTCGGAATCGGGATCGATCGAGATGGATATATACTCTTATAAATGCTTGGTCAAGATAAAAAGTCGATAGAACTCATAAGTTTCATCAAGTTCTTCTTGATCTAGACGTGTAAGAACGAAGAATCCTTCACTTCTGATCAATTTTTCAATGTCAATATTTCATATCTGCCGAGAGCGAGAGCAGTCGTGACCGGGATTTGAAATACGTCCAAGAGCCATAACTAGGACCGGAACAAAAAATAGGGTTTTATACATGTCTACCCCCTACTGATTAGGTTTTCTGACATGTTCTCGAGCGCAATAGGAGTTTTGTTTGCATATATTAAGACTGAACTTTTCCAGGTAACGCCAGATACTTCCGCTAGTGACTTAAAATTTTGAAATGGTGAGAAGAGAAATACTAATCCAATCGATGCTCTCCATAGTATAACATATGGATATGTAGATTTTATACGTAATTTAGAATGCGTGGATCTTAATTAGATAGTCAGAATTTGTTTTTGATAGATGCATAATTGAATACTTTACAAACTTGTATTTACCTTCATTTAAAACAACATGGAAACACGAATAAAAAACATTTTAACATGTAAATAAACGATTGGATTATTAAAATGTACTTTTTACAAACTTCAAGTTCTTGAAATCGAACAAAAAGAAACTCATAAAAGTGCGTTCTTTTTCAATTTTAATATCTCCATCATAAAATTTATATTCATATTTGCTTCTCTGATAGGAAAATTTTTTTTACCACTCGTTGCAAAAAAAAGTTAGCAAATCATACGACTGTCTCACGTTAAACCTCCAACGTTCTGTAATTTTTCTACAAAACCTTTTTCTTACCTACGAAAGCTAAAAAAGATTCAGAATTAAACGTTCTTCCTGTGTACCCGAGGGAAGATTCTTTTTTGGTGGCTTTGTCATTGCATGCTGTAGCTCAGTTTCATTTTCTAAGAATTTAGGTAGTTAAAAACGACTACTTCCCAGTTAATAGAACTGATGGAAGCAATCGTTTTCCATTAAAAAGATAGCTTTCTCTACCGCTAAAAGAAGACATTTGATAGTAGAAGAAATACTTGTTATTCTTCGAACCAATTGATTCACCATTTGAATTATTGTCGAATTCATTGTACTTAGTTCATTGCGCGTTATCTTCAGTTCGTTGCGCGTTTCATTTAGTTCTTGATGCCTTTCATTTAGTTCATTGCACGTTACCTTCAGTTCATTGCGCGTTATCTTCAGTTCGTTGCGTGTTTCATTTAGTTCTTTGTGCCTTACATTTAGTTCATTGCGTATTGCATCAACATCATTCGATAAGCGGTGGTATTTTTCTGCAAGCCAACCGTTTGCCAACAAACGATCACGATATTCATATGGACAGCGAACTGGTAGGACGTGTACGTTCATTCGAGTTTTAACTAGAACAGAATTTGAAAATAGCTTTGTATTAGATTTTAACTTGCTGAATTTGACGAGTGTGACATCGATTGGTTTTGGCTTTATGATGTCACCTTCGACTTCAATATGATTGGACAAATATCGAACCAACTTTTCCGCATCTTTTCGTTCTAGAATGGTTGTTGAACCATTTTTTCTCTCATTATTCGTGCCATTGAATCGGTTCATATCTGTTTTGTAGTGAATTATATCATCCTTCAACGAACTTTCACTATTCGTGTTTTGATTATAAACACTGACACCTGTATTGACTTTCATACTTCCCGAGACTTGGCCTAAAAAACTGCCGCCTGTTTCAACGCCGACATGAGTATCAACATCGCTTGTATGTGTGGTATGTTTAGATTGTGTTGTTAGATGTTTTTGAAAATTGTCAAGTTTTTGTCGTTCGTCAAGTTTTAAATTTTGTTTTATAGCTTCATCTGCCTGCGAATAATCGTAGCGAAATTTGTTTGAGTCAGTAGCATCTTGTTTCAGAACTTTATTCAGAACTTTGGATAATCGATCGGGTCGCGTTAACTCAGGCGTCCAATACAGCGATTCCCAAAGCTGATCACCGACTTGTATCAGCCGTATTTGCTTATATTGCAATTGACGATCGAGTATTCGATCGATGCCAATCGGATCTTGTATGTTTTCAGAACCCTCTTCAATTCGTAAATTCATTGTAACTTGATCTACGGTTTCACTTAAGAGATTTTTATAGTCATTACCAGTCAAAGCAATTGTCTCTTGATGATCTGAAGGAAATTGAGACTTTATCTGATTGTACATCGAAGTTTTCGTTACATGTTCGGTGGTGACTTCAAGAGTTCGAGCTGTTGTCTGTTGACCTTGTAATGAGTACTGAACTTCTAAGTTCGATAAACGACAACGTGAGGCAATTGAATTTTTTAAATCTTCACAAACGGACATATTAGACGTGTAGATAATAAACTCAATCGTTTGTCGGAGTTGTGTATTACTATGCCATTCACTATCGAAAGTGTATTTTTTTTTAGATTCCTGTGTTTGAAGCCCTTTTTGAATGAGACGGATGGAGTGCATTGGCAAAAGTGAAACTCCACAATGTTTAGTATGACAAGTATAATTCTGGCTTTTAATATGATGTTTAACAGATTCAAGTAAATTCGTTGTATAGAGCGAAACAACCAAGGTGAGTTCAGTGTGACCACTTAAATCATTGTAGTTACAATCAGTTAAATTTGGTTCGATATGTGGAAATGGTGTAAAGAAAAAATCGGATAGCTTCCGTTGATTTTGAAATAGAGTGACTTCACCATCTTGATATTGAAATCGACCCACATCATTTGCTATGATTTGTTCTGTATGTATATTGTTAATAGTACTTCGTGCATTATTATCAGCAATTATAGAACGCTCTGAATTTTCTTCTGCAGCAATGTCAACGATCAGCGCTACTATGCCAAGAAAAAACAACACAGAAAACCGCTGCATTTTCTAAAAACAGATAAAAATAACTGTTCCGTATTCTTTTGCGTAGTGATTCTGCACAAAATACACATATGGTTCTAGTTCTCCAAAAGAAGCCTATTTTTCCACGTAAAACGCAACAACATAGCATCAGATAAACAGAAATTGTGTGAGAACACACTTCATTAGTTTATAAATTCTTGACTATTGATGCACAAACAGTTGACATTAGATGTTTATATAAAGAAAATGATCAAACAATGCCCACTTAACAATAGAAAAAAAATAATACTATGCAAAATTTGAGAGTTTTTACCTGTATTTGATTTGATGTACAGCGAATTGGATATTATGAGATGTCTAACAATATGGATGAAAATATTCAAGGTTTCAAATGAAGTTTTTTAATGCATCGATGAATGCTGTTATGGAATAAAGATTAGAGGTACAACATTTTCTTTAACTTAAATTGTAAGTTTAAATTTTTTCTTCGCATCTACGTATATTAAGCGAAAAAAAAAAAGTATTAACCGTTGAATTTAATCTTAAATTTTATGTTTTGGGGATTCTTAACTCTGCTAATCTAGCTTTTCGTAATGACTATTATCAAATTATCACCGAACTTTTCTACTTCGTTCTCAGTAGGACAATCTTTAGGTAAGATTCTTGGCACAAATTTGATGTTATTGCGTCTTATTTGTATTAATTATTGACAATATCTGAATTTGTAAATTAAGCGTAGACAACGGTTACGCTGCAA